CGGGGGAGGATGGGGCGGCTGGGGAGGAGGAGGAGGAGGATGAGGATGAGGGGAGTGATGAGGAGGATGAGGGTGAGGAGGTGCAGGCGGAGGACGGGGACGCAGATGGGGATGAAGATAGCGGGGAAGGCGGGACGGTGGAGTCGCCGTTTGTGCCGTTGAGGTTGGATGTGGCACCGCTTTCGTTGGATATTGCGGGGATATTCGGGGGCAAGGGCAAGGGGAAGGCAAGGGAGGGGACGGTGCCAGGTCCAGGTTCGGTATCGCGGGGAAACAGTCTCATTACGCCGACGGCGCATCCATGGCATTCTCCCGCCGCCAACAGCAAAAATGGGCAGATGGATTACTTCTCGGTGCGCACACCAACAAGCGAAGAGACGCCTAGGCCAGTGTTTGCTGTCCCTGCTGGGTTGACTAGTGCATCCTCATCCACGTCGGGGGCCGGCGTGGATAATCGAATTCAGCTTCAGCAGGACAGTCGACTTGCGAAGATGCAGATACCACAGATACCCATGTCGCCTGCGGTGAAGACGGTGCCGATGCCGCAGCTGCCTACGCGCGCGCCAGAGCGTCCGGGGATGTATAAGCATGCGTCGAGGAGTATGGTGGATATTTTGCAGGTTTCTTCTTCGTCGGTGGGTAGGGAGGAGGAAGAGGAAGAAGGAGGCGGGGAGGGCGAGGAGGAGGAAGACAGTGAGGATGAGGAGAGTTTGGAGGATGTGAAGGATAGGTTGAAGGCGACGGCAAAAGCAAAAGCAAAGGCCAAGGTGAAGAAAAATAGCAAGGATTCTGCGTCGGCTTCGGCGTCCACACATCCGCCGGGGGAAGCACCGGCGTATGAACCCTCGCCACAACGGGCCAGCACACTCAAGCGGCGGCGGTCGATGCCGGAGATTATGGCCGCGCCGCCACCGTATACACTTCCGCTTTTCCCGTCGACGGCGTCGCCTTTGAATAACAACAACAACAACACCGGCGCCGGCGGTGGGCTGCATCCCCTCGCGCAAGTGCGCATCACGCCAAGGGACGACGAGGGGAGGGAGGTTCTGCCGCCGTATAGCAACGATATCCTGCTTCGCGGGGTTATGCCGCGCAAGATGGAGTTTACTGCACCGGGGGTGCAGGCGAAGGACCGGAAGTGGCGAAGAGTGTTGTGTGAGCTGGAGGGGACGGTGTTTCGGGTTTATCGGTGTGCGGGGGAGGGGTGGTGGGAGAGGCGGGTGGGGGTGGGGGATGCGACGTTGCAGGTGGCGGGGAGCGTGAGTCCGAGTGCGGCGGCGGCGGCTGCGAAGGCGCGGGCTGCGAGGGAGAGGGAGGGGCAGGAGGTTAGTAAGATTGCTGGGGAGGAAGGGAGGATACCGGGGGTTGGGGGGAGTGCTGCTGGGGATGGGGAGGGGCGGGAGGAGCAGGGGACGACGGAGGTGATTATTCCGCCGAGGTCGAGTATGTCTTCTGCGAGGAGTGGTGCTTCGTCGGGGGGTACAGCACCGCCTTCGCCTGAATCAACGGAGGGCAACGCGTCGTCTGCGGCTTCTATCGCGGGGTCGACTAGTGCCAGCCGGTCACGGTTGAATCTTGGTATCAGCCTGCTCAAGCCGCGTTCGCATGGACGGTCGAAGAGCGAGATGCCGAATCCGCCTAAAACACCAACTACGCCGACGAGGTCATCGCTGTCTATTCCACGGCCGTCATTCGGTGGCAGCTCGAGCTCGGGTGCGAGTAGTAGTGGGAGTTTGAATGCTAGCACGAGCGGCGCGGCGTTGGCGCCTTCGCGGTCGAATGCGAGCCTTGTATCGGCTCGTTCTAGAGCACCTAGCACGCGCGGCACGCCCTCTTCGCAGCCTATTGTCAGTAGCCGCGCTCCTGCTACACCGATGAGTAGCAAGGGCAAGTGGTCTGGTGTTGGTATCGGCACGGCCGGGGCAGACATCCCGGAACCCGATCCTGCGGACCTCCTTCGCGCATATACGTTGCAGCATGGCGAGAGTGGGTTGGGCAACGATTATTTGAAAAGGAAACATGTTATTCGTGTACGACTTGAAGGGGAGCAGTTTTTGCTGCAGGCGAGGGATGTGGGGGATGTTGTGGATTGGATTGAGGTACGTGCTTTTTGATTTAATTTTCACTGGAGCTGGACTGACTTGTTTGCAGGGGTTCCATAGCGCGACGAATATAGCGCTGGATCTAGACGAGCGGGTCATGCCTAAAGGGCCGTTGTTCCCCAGGTGTGTTGGCTTCATTCGTAGTGTTTTGGATGCTAAATTCGATTCACAGACGGAGACGACGCCGTCCAAGGCCTGCGAATGGTGCCGAAGCTCCTGTAACGTCCTTAAACAGCAATAATGCGTCTGCGACACGTTGATCTTATACTTACTTGTATATTTTTTCTATCACTTCTGGCATGGACTGAACACTCATTCTTTTTAATCTACTGCATTATCATACCCACAGACAGTGAGATACGACTTTCATACATGTAAATATTGCTGTTGTAGAGTAAAATAATTCCCTGGAGCAGCCCAAGATAAGGGCGATTCAAATTCAGAAGGACGTCCTCGATGTCGCACTTCAAGCTGAGGAAAGAAATGCTTTGGAAAAGTTGAGCTAGCCGCGGCGAGAAGAAGTAAACAAATACTCGTGACTGAGCGCCATTTTGGGCGACAGCACCACGCGATTTACTTATCTTCTCGAGTCATCCCGACTAGTTTCTTGTCCCAGCGCTCTCCCCGATACACTCCCGCCCTTTAATCCTTCCTTCTTCCCGGTACTTGTAACGACCACCCAACGAACTCTTCGAATCCCCTTTATCTCGATACCCCCTTGTCGGATACCAGTATACCGCCTTTATAGAAGCCTCCGTTAATTGCGCATGGCAGATTCTGGGATAGAGATTGACCTTGACTCCGTTATCGACAAGCTGTTAGAAGGTCCGTTTGGGTCTACAGCGGTTTTTCATCATCGTTTTTTCGTCGCTCACAACGAGATTCGTTCTATACAGTACGCGGCAACAGACCTGGCAAGCCGGTGCAATTGCAAGAATACGAGATCAAGTACCTCTGCACGAAAGCTCGCGAAATCTTCATCAACCAGCCCATTCTACTCGAGCTAGAGGCGCCGATTAAGATATGTGGTGCGTCGTGTGCCGATTTATAAGACACGCAGTATTGACGCCGCTCCGCGTAGGTGACATCCATGGGCAGTACTACGACTTGCTACGGCTTTTCGAGTACGGGGGCTTCCCACCCGAAGCGAATTACCTCTTTCTGGGCGACTACGTCGACCGGGGGAAGCAGTCCCTCGAAACGATTTGTTTGTTGCTCGCCTACAAAATCAAGTACCCCGAAAACTTCTTTATCCTGCGGGGGAACCACGAGTGTGCTTGTATCAACCGGATATACGGATTTTACGACGAATGTGCGTTTTCAGTGCCGTGCGCGATAAAGACGGGAAACTCATTGAGCAGCCAGGCAAACGACGATACAACATAAAGCTGTGGAAGACATTCACGGATTGCTTCAATTGCTTGCCTATTGCTGCCATTATTGACGAGAAGATATTCACGATGCATGGTGGGCTGAGTCCCGACCTGCAATCTATGGAGCAGATACGGCGGGTGATGCGGCCGACGGACGTTCCTGATACTGGTCAGTTTTGACTCGTTTTCCCCATGCAGCACTAATTTCTGTTGTTCTTTGCAGGCTTGCTATCTGATCTCTTATGGGCCGATCCCGACAAAGATATCACTGGGTGGTCAGAAAACGACCGCGGTGTATCGTTTACTTTCGGGCCAGACGTCGTCGCGCGCTTTCTTCAAAAACACGACATGGATCTCATTTGTAGAGGGCATCAGGTGCGTTAGCTGCAGGCTTAGTATTGTTCGCAACTCAGCGATTCCAGGTCGTGGAGGACGGGTATGAGTTTTTCGCAAAGCGTCATCTGGTCACATTATTCTCCGCGCCGAATTATTGTGGGGAGTTTGACAATGCCGGGGCGATGATGAGTGTGGACGAATCGTTGCTGTGTTCATTCCAAGTGCGTATCGACATATAGCAGCGGTCTCTGCGACTCACAAACCCTCTCCAGATCCTCAAACCTGCCGAGAAAAAGCAAAAGTATCCATATGGCGATGCAACACCACGGAGACAGAAGAAACGCGGAGCGGCTTGAGCTTCGTGACCCCTTGCCGTTTCTGCCTGCGACCGTTACCGCTTTGTGGATAGACTTCGAGCACCTCAGCGCGTCGAGTGTACGATATATTTCGCGGATGCTTCACTTGTGCCCTTTTTTTATTTATTCGATGGTGTTTATTGAGGGGACATGCTGACTGGACTACATGGTTGACGCGAGGTTGTAGATCGAGTTTGGGACATGTTGTATCAGTATTGCCTGTATAAGATACCATTCCAGACGCAAAATCCCGTTGGACTTGCCCAAATTGAGCTCAAGGGGCAAACTTACTGAAGCACTGCAACGGGCAGCGTCTGTGACTGAAGTCATGTCCTTCGCATGTGGCTTCCACTAGCTTCTACTTCCGATAGCCTGCAGCCGCACGAAATTGAATCTCATGGGACAATGTGAACACTGCTAACTCAGTGGCCTGCTGCTGACTGGAATCGTCATGTTAGCGAGTGCCAGTGGTTCACCACAAGGTTCGCCAGGCTTATCAGCAGGCATTCCGAGCAGTCAGATTATATACGACCTTGTTGCATCTCATGGTCCCATACCCTGACAAGATACTATACAGCAACTGGAGGTGGTGCCGATGAAACAGGAAATTTACACGCCTAAATCCCAAAATGGACATTCACCGCCAATTACGTGAGATATCGTCCCAATCGGGAAGGTCGAAGTATCCATTTGACTTCGAGAGATCTCGGCAACTAGAAGGAGAATCCACGAGAAAAAAGCAACGACAGATGGCTCTGATCTTTTCCCTTCTATAGCGCTTAAGTTCAAGTCAAAAATGAACACATCATGCTCGCAAGCCCGAGAACAAAATATGATCGAACCCAGGTTCGAACTGAGGACCGCCTGTGAACAGGATCACGTGATTTTAGTTATTGTTAGACAGAAGTGATAACCAACTACACCATTCGACCGATATCTACCTATCTTTATAACATTATACATAGGTAAAACGTGGCAAAATCAACTCGAATGACCGATTTCTCGTTCAGAAGGCAGCCGGTTTCTGACAACAAGCAGTTCCCAGAGATTTTGTATCCGGGTATCCCTTCCCGCAATTTTGTGATTCCCTTCGGTCCAACGTTCACAACAAGCTCAAGTAGGGTAAGTGAATCACTGCGACCCTCTTTCGACTTCGTTTCAAACCCCCTCTCATTTACAATCATACAGGGAGATATACACCTGTGTTCAATCTGATTCCAAAGTCTATGCTCAAGTCTTCGATGCTATTTCGAAGTCTGGGGACACCGCTGCGTGTGCGGTGCTCATTCTCTGCCACGAGCCGCAAGACTCTAGACGGTGCAGACTTCTGAGACACAGGACTACGACAATTCGCAATTCGGCAGCGAATGATATGAAGGTTGGCTATTCTGACACACTACTAGATAACAGCATCAAGTAGTGGATGTCTTGGGAGCTCGTTTGGGCTTCTTTTTCTTCCCGGAAAGCAGGTCATTGCCTGCCTCCGTCTTCTTGACTCCGACCATGGAATTATTGACTGCAGCAACAGCATTCAGTACTTTTCTGGACAATCAGCGCTGACTGCTTACACTCGCCCGCAAGCAGATCATCGACTATGGGTTTGCTTCCGGAAGTGATATAACGAGTGGACACCCCGCGAGCAATAAGCGGTTGCGCAAGTAACCTCTTGAGCTCTGCTTTCAGTTTGGAATTCTCGATGTCCTTTGTTTTCTGTTTGCGATTCGCTGGCTTGTCTTCGTCCGAGCCGCTGTCGCAACATCAGCATTGCTTTCGAAAACGCGGACGGGAATCTACCTCATGAAGTCCGAATCCAGTTCAATTTCCATGGCATCTGCCGCCTCCTTCATCCACTTGCGATCATGGTTCGCCTTCTTGGTCTTGTGGTGGGCGGTCTCGATCTTTCTCGCCAACTGGACGCGCTCCTTGAGCTTGTCTAGCATGCTAAGATCGATGCTTATTTCCGCGATTTCGCTTTCCTCTGAAGACGGAATCAGCATTCGTGTTGATCGACCAATGTTAACACTGACGACGCCCTAGACTGCCGAGTAGAGCACGGACAACACGGCGTTCGTCAGGAGAGCACATGAGCATGCTAAACCCACTACGCATTGCTCGCGCAGTCCGCCCATTTCTATGTATGTAGGCATCTGCCGAGCGAGGGATCTGATAGTGGATGACGTGGTCTACGGCCGGGATATCGAGGCCTCTCGCAGCAATGTCTGTGGCGAGCAAAACAGAGTTTGGCGTGGATTTGAAACTGAATTGATGTTAGTCCGACTTTTCTCGCACCATCCAGTCCCTTACCGATCAAGATTTTTCAACCGCTGGCGCTGCTCCAACTGAGAATGCAGTGGAAAGGCTTTGATATTGAGCAATTCCGTTAATGGGAGGAGGCGGCGAATCCCATCAATCGAGGCAAGAAACACGAGAGATCGTCCAGGATATCGTAACAAGAAGTAGTACAAGTATACATCCTGCGCCTGGTAAGAGAAGATATATGCCATGAGTATGAACAAATCACCTTGTCCGCCGAAAGACACTCAATCTTGCTCTCCTTCAGGGTCGAAACGACCCCACCCTGTGGACTAAGATCGATGATCTCTGGCTCAGAATCGCGAAAGTCGAGGCGAAGGAGGAGGTCGTCTATGGGAGTTGAGATAAGGAGAATCTTTGCATTGAATGGCTTGACCTAGTGTTGACGCTGGTGAGCCCGATTTGTTATTCTTGCCACCAGCTTTCGGACGAGCGCGTCGTTTGACATTACGCTGCAGATCTTTGCTGAGGGTCGCAGAGAAGATGAAGGTCTGTAGGCCATCCTGGATAGGCTCTTCGTCGTCCTCTTCATTCTCTGGCTCAATCTGGTCCGCTCTAGGCAAGGTAGAGAGATGAGTGAGAGGAAAAGCAGTGGAAGATATGCAGTACTTTGATTCTCGCAGAGTAAGGCGGAGAATGTTTTCCAACTCCGCGAAATGTCCCGCCTCTATCATTCGATCTGCCTCATCAAGGACGAGAAACTTGAGATTTTTGATTTGGGTAGCCAGGTCGTCGTCCTAAGACACATTCGCGTTAAGAGCTTGAGAACAAAGAAAATAAGTACATACGTCTTGTATTATATCCCAGAGTCGACCGGGCGTCGCCACAAGAATATCGACCCCACGATCCAAGATACGGCGCTGTTTCTGAGAAGACATGCCGCCAACGATAGTCGCTACGCTGACTATGGGCGGTGAACGAGGCGCAGTAGGCTTCTGAGCCTCAGTTTCGGCATCCTTGTCGTCATTGGATTCCACCGCGTTCAGGAATTCATTCAAGTGAGATGAGACTTGTAACGCCAGCTCGCGAGTTGGCGCCAATATCAGGGCACCCAGCTTGCGCTTGAGCTTGGAAGGGTTTGCAGTTGCCAACAGTCGATGAAGGATGGGGAGGCCATATGCTAGCGTTTTGCCAGAACCCTTGGTCAAGCATTAGAAACAACGGACATGGACACGCCAGAATGCATACGGTCTGCGCAATTCCAACAACATCCCGCCCAGACAGTGCAAACGGAAGGGCGGCCGCCTGAATTGGTGTTGGGGAAAGAAAATCTTTTGAGTGCAGGGTCCTGAGAAGTGTTGGGTGAAGGTAATGTGAATGCCAATTCGGCAGTAGATTACTGGCTGAGAGACGGTCAGCAGGCATGAACAGTCGATGAAGATTACAAGAGTGTACTTGCAATCGAACGGCTCTGGCTCTGCAACTTCTGCATCAGGAGAGTTTTCACGGACCTCCTCAGCCTCAGACTCGATATCTTCAGCAACATCAATGACCTATTTCACGCCTCAATTTTAGCGCCATAGCGAGCGGGTGACACCGACGTTGAAGGTCATAATTCGGCCGGCTTCAGTATCTTCGTAGACCACTTCCACACCATCTACTTCCTCTAGTTCGAGTATACCGTCGTCGCCGTCCATTCCAGTCTCCATTGGACGCTTGACTGTCTTCCAGGGTAGAGCATCAGTTGTGTTATGATGGATTTTGGTGCGCTTGCGAATAGAGGTGTTTCGCAACCGTCGTTTTGAGCCCGCAAGGACCGGGGGATCTACCATAGCTCAGTGATCGAGAAAGCAGGTTGTAGAAAAAGTCTGATGGCGATCAAAAATTGCTGTGGTGCAACAGCTTTCTTCAACTCGTCTTCAACCATCTCTTGACAATCCCAGTTGAATCTTTATTCTTACGACTGTCTAGCGCATGCGATTTCTCTTCCTTGAATCGACTCGCATTCAGCACCATCAGCGCCCGTAGCTAGTCATGATCGGCAAGAGCAAGTTCGAGTCAGACAACCTCACTCGAAACGGGAATATAAGTTCTTCAACGTTGACCTAGCTGAGGCTAGCTCCTGCCCAAGATAAACCTACCAACCGTCGTCGAAGCTCAATGTATTCCCTCATCTTTCATTGGGGTAAGCGTGTTGGTGTTGAGATCGTTCTCTGATATAACATCGCACGCAGGCCTCTATGCTGTTCCCGCTTATGGCGATGAGTGGTACGAGAAGCGACTGCTGAAACCTCCGCGTCGGAGGGCGAACGACTATGAGGTTACCAAGAAAATCCAGGAACATCACCGGAAGGTCTACAACAACGCACCCTACCAAAACTTCCAGCGCGGCTTTCATCCTGAAAAATGGGAGCCTTCTGTATGGATGACGCTCGCGTCCGACCTTGACGCTGAATATGTCCTCCTCACCTCAAAACACCACGATGGGTACTGCCTCTGGCCCACCTCCACCACGGACTACCACACTCATCGAAATGTTGTCGGTGACTTCAAAGCCGCTGCGCTCCAGGCCGGTAGGAAGTTCGGCCTGTATTATTCGTGGTGGGAGTTCCGTCACGATGTCAATCGGGGAACGCCAGACGGAGAGGCATATCTACGCCGCATGGTGGCACAGGTCAAGGAGTTATGCGATACGTACGCGCCTGAGATATGGTGGTTTGACGGTCACTGGGCTTTCAGGACTCAGCATGCTGTCGACGCCATCAATGAAGCTCTTGCCTACATTGTCTCTCGTACGCCCAGTGTGCAGATCAACGACCGTACAGGTGCGACACCGGAGCTTGAAGCTGAAAAAAAGAAGAGCCAGAATTTCATGCCCCCTCACTGCACCTTCCGTGTCTACAGAGACCGAGCCCTGCCCAAGTTTGCGCCCAGAGTCCCATGGGAGCATATCGGGACGGTCGGCACGAGCTGGGGTAGAGACAAAGCGCAGAAGCCGGAAGACTACAAAACTGGGGAGGAACTCTGGGAAATTGAGCAGAAGGTGGAGGCGTTGGGAGGTAGGGTCTGCTGGAATTTTGGGCCGGACGTGGATGGTTCTCTGGATGAGATGGAGGTGACCGCTTTGACAGCCCTCGCAGAGCTCAGGCGTAAGAGCAAAGAAAGCCAACGATAATGAATCCTTATATTGGATGTGTTAACCTGAATATAACATGATGGAGCTGGCGTTGCAAACTTGCCAGGAATCGCCATAAGGCATGGTGATGCATGTCCAAGCTTGTACGACAAGAGTAAGTATAGAAGCCGGGTGGGCGGTCACCAAAGACGATCATGAGCAAGCCGACATCAAAATGTCGTCTCATGGGTGATAATGCTGCTCAATACAGGTTTGCTTGAGACGCAAATTGCCAGATTCAGAGTGAGTTAGAACCCAGTGGACAAGCCAGCGAATTCATAGACGGTAAATCGCTGATTCGAGGTTACTGCCGAATGGGTGCGTAAAACGCGGAGGAAGAGCGAAGAACCCGTACCTAGATGGAGACGGTCTCGATGATCTGGAAGCCTTTATGAGTGAACTGCTCGCGCAATGCGTCAGATATGAACATTCGGGAGCGCGTGCCCCGAGTTGAAGGCCGAAGAAGAGATACATGCTGTGATGAACGAGATCCAGAAGATCTCC